TGAAAAAAATTATTCAAAAAATACAAAAGAATTACAAACCGATAAAGTCAATTACAAATGCAATGTTTTTTGTTGCGACAATGTTAAGTTTTCGCTAGAAAGTCCTCGTTTCACGGGTGCCTATCCTGCATTAATCTGTACTCACTGTAGATGTTTTCCCGGGTTTGGCTGGGATGCGCTCAGGATGCCGCGCGAGGGTTCCGCATGGCGATGGCCGCCTCCCCGCCTCGCCTCCTCGCCGGCGCGCCCGCGGCCCTCCTGGGCCTGGCCTGGAGTGCGCGGCCTGGAGCCCGGCCTGCTGGAGTCCGGCCCGCTGGAGCCCGGCCCGCTGGAAGCGCCCGCACGGCCCGCACCTGCACTAGTCCTCACCGACCCCGCCGCTGCAAACGAAAAGAAGGAAAAAAAAAAAACACGCAGTCAGCTCACACGTTTCCATTGTCCCAATCGCAGCCGTATCATGTAGCAGGTCTGTTTGCCAGTTTGCCCGTCTCTCTCTCTCTCCCTTTCTCTCTAAAAAAAACTCACTCATACACAAACACACAAAATCGGTTAGCACTCATAGTCTATTGGGCCTTGCCTGCGACTGCTGCTGCAGGCCGGCGATAAACCAACACATTTTCGTATAATACTTTTTTAGGATGAGGAAGAGAAATCGGTCGAAAAGGCAGGCGCCCTAAACAATGGCACTTGGATGAGTGGGAGGAGGTGAGGAGGGCGTATCTGGGCGAGGGGGAAAGGGCGGGAAGGGGAAGTGGCGGGAAGGGGAAGTGGGGCGGTAGTTAGGCAGCGGGGACGTTAAAAACAACTCAGCAGGACGCGGTGCCGCAGAGCGGGACGCGCTGGCTCACCTGAGCGCGCCCCCGCCGATCACAACCGGCGCTAGCACACAAACACGGAGAGAAATTGGAGAGAAAAAAGTGTGTGAATGTGTGCCTCTGTTCGCTCGCAAAAAAACAAAAAACACACATTTTAAAAAAAAAGCACCAACCCAATGCGACACAAACTAGCGCTACACCAGTTTCTTTCGACAGGCAACAGTAAAAACATTACCTGGCCCAAACTTTGTGGAGCAGTCGTAATCGATTTCGCTTTAGGGTGCATAACGGCGGGGCTGCGCTTAACTGGCCGCGGCCGGGGCCGGGTTACGTCTGGATGAGATGAGCGCGGGAAAAGGTAAGGGAGGAGAGGGTTTTGCGCGAGATGTTGTTTTTTCCCCCTCTTCTTTCGGTGCCATTCTTGCAGTTTTGTTTCACCGACAAACTGAAGGAAAACCCTCCCCGCTGCTCTCTCCCACAACTGGCAACACTGTGTGGAGACCGACCCCTTGCTGTATATAGCTCAGCCCCAGGCCCGGCCCTGGCTGGCGCGGCGCGGCGGCGGCGCGGGCCCTGGCCCGGTGGGAATTGAACTCCGTATGAAGCTCCTCCTCTCCTCTTACCGCCCTCCCCCGCCCTCTCTCTCTCTCTCCCTCCCTCCGCATCGAACTACGCCTACAGCCGCACGCCTCCCGGCGGCGCCTCCGCCCTGGAGCCTGGCGGAGCCTGGACCACCACGGCACATGGCGCACACACACAGCCTTCACTTTTGCTCAATTCGTTCCGTTTATATTGTCATCCGTTTTTAGCCGTGGCCTTATTGCGCCGGTCGTGTGTCTGCCCCCCCCC